CCCCAAAACCCCAAAACCCCAATTATCATAAATTCTCATCAAATCGTTTAAATTTAATTATTAAATATTTGTAATTTGAACTTCGACTTTTATTATTATGTATGAGTATTTATTGATTTTTAAAATAAATAAAATAATAGATTTAATGGATCAAAATAAAACAATCACTAAAGATAGAGCTGCAAGATTTTTTACTTAAAAGATAGGTAAAAATAAATATTGAGAAAATTCCACGATGAGCGAATATATGTAAGAGATTGACTTGAGAGAATATATTGAAGAAGGATATAATTTTTTATAAGGAGATGATTCTGCCTCATATACATATATGGTAGAGGTAGATAAAATAATTTAAATTAATCGGAAAAATTTGCTTATAGTACCAATTAAGAAACAAGATAAATTAGATTCATCTAAATATAATTGGATAGTTAAAATTTGGGATATAAAGCAAAGCAAGGAAGTTAAGATAATTCACGATTTGATAATTTTTGGCATTGACTATATCTACTAGACATTGAAAGATAAAACGGTTTTTTTAAAGGTAGATGATATCCTATCTGATCAATTCTAAATGCAGGAAAATTTATTTGCTTAATGTTATACGAGTGGTATTAAAAATTTGCGTTATATTACTGATAAGTTAATTTATATTCTATATGAAGAAGGAACAATAATGCTTGCTTTTGTTAAATAAATCAAATTCGATATGAAAGATTTGAGCAATGAATTAGAGTTTATAAGATGTAAAATAAAAATTTAAAATAAAGAAGAAAGCATTTCGTTTGAGTATAATAGATTATATGATTTCTATTTACTTTATAATAATGACTTAAGCATTGTTGTTCCGAAAATTGATTAAGCTTTTATGATAATGAAAAATGAAAAGAAACGAAAATATATGTTTTATTCAAAATAAGATTTTACGTTTTAATTTGAGATAAATTACTATGACTTGAGATTTATAGAAGAATTAGATTAGTTATATGGAATAGATAAAGATAATAATTTGAAATTAGTTCATCCAGTTAATTTCAAAATTTCAAAGCTAAGATAATTAAAAATTAATGGAAATAACAAAATAAAAGCTGCTTCATTACTGCATAACTTCCTTATACTCGTATTGCGAGATTAATTATTAATTCATGAAATTTTATCTGATTAATACGTATTTAGTTATAAAATCAAAGATTAAATTCGAGGAAAGTATTATGAGCATAGTAAAATATCTATCAATGATTATGATGATTACTCTATATTCTTTATATAAGATGATGGATAAATGAAAAAGTTTCAAATATTCACTATTTTTCCTCAAATTTATTATACAAAGTAACTGTTATATGATGGTATTCAATTATAATAAGATTTTAATTAGTAAGCTTAAATAACTTAGGAGTATAATGCTCTGCTTTAAATCTTTAATGATGATGTAAATTCCTACTATAATTTGATTCAAATAGAGGAAATTAACTCCAAATGGTGAGGTTTAAAAATATAAGAAGAAGATTTAAAATAATTAAGTAATATGACTAAAGATGAAATAAGAAAATTTCTTGGATTTGATAAATAAAGTTAACTTAAATGCATTTTTCTTATAATGGATTTATTACCCAAAGATAGATTCTAAAAAATGATTAATAATAATACTGTAATACTTTTGACTGATAAAAGAATAATTCATGTTTCTGTAATTTTTCCTGAGTGTTAGAGTAGGAAAGCTTTTATATTCAAAAATAGAAAAAATGAGGGAACTTATGTTGGATTTATTTAAAAGTAATCTGTTACAATCTTTGATATTAGAACAAGGAATAAATATATCATTGAATTCAAGAAGGATCTGATTGAAGAAGTGGAGCTATCATTTTTAGATGAATTTCATGGAATAATGATTTTTTATCATAAAGATTAAGCTGATAATGGTTTTATAGAAGCTTTTGATCTACAAACAGGGGAAAAAATAGATAAATTAAGTATAAGTAAAATTTAAAGCATATAATATATTGAAATTTAAGATGATTTGATTCATTATTGCTATTACTCTATGCTTTAAAAGAATTAAATGACATAGAAATACTTTATAGTAAACTAAAAGATAAGATAAACGATATTGATTAGATTGGAGTAAAAAAGACCTTTTATAACAGATCCTAATAAATTGCTTAACAAAACTGAGAGCAGTTTTTCGATTGTAAAGCTTGAAGAAGGATTTTATTTTTATAATATATTCAATAATTTATAGAACCATAAGCGTCAATTTAATTTATATTAGCCAGCAATAATGGCTACTTATTTCAAAGATGCTAATTTCATAAAACTGGAATAAAAAACATTACTTTATTATTTTAGAGATTTAAAACATCATGTTGGTAAATTTTAGATTGATTTTAGAAGTGATGATATTTAAAATTATAAAAATATTTAGAAATTAAACTCCTAATAAGCGATGGAAGAGCTTTAGATTAAATCGAAATATTATTTAAATTTTATACCAGGCATTGGAAATAGTATCAACATTTTTTAGGATAATATTGTTATCTTGGAGTTTATTTTTAAAAATCTTTTTCTTAAAAGCAAATTAGATCTACCAATTGTAATAACTAAAAGACTTTAATAATAAGAATCCCCTCTTGATCAAAACATAAAAAATGGATAGTAAAAAATTGTGAATTTGCTTCTTTATAACTTACTTAAATACTAAAATAATGTGATTTATAATGAATTAGTTGACAAAAATCTTTGCAATTTAATTTTCTAAAATATAGAATTATCTGAATATTTCTAAAGCAATCTTCCTATCTATCAATTACATGATCTTGGTTTACCTTAAATTCACTAAGATAGCTCAGAGATTATAGAAGGGATTAATTTGTTTAATGTGATAGAAATTTATGAAAAAAAGAATATTTTATTCTTGAAATAATAACAGAAGTAATAAACTAAAAAAGTTAGAGTGTCGATAGAATATTTTTTAATTAATTTGCCCGTTACTCTTGTCAAGAATAAATTAGAACTGATGGATGCTCTTAGCAGAACTAATGATTATCAACATTTTGAAAATGTAGTAATTTAGACTATAATAAAATTTAAATGGAATCAATATACAAAGCAATTCTACTAATTTCAATTCATTGTATATTTAATATTTATGATGTCATTGGTGATTGAAATTTACCATTAGATCTTTTTAGGCTAAATTTAGTCTAAAGGTGACAATGACCAAAGAAAAATATTTTTAGTAATTACAAATAAATTGATTAGTGCTGGATGTCTTTGCTTTTTTATATCAATTGAATTACTCTAAATATAAAAGTAAAAGTAAAATTACATAAAAAATATTTGGAACATAATTGATGTCCTGCTAATTAGCTCCTATATTTTTCTCAATATAATCGAGAATTTTTAAAATAACATGGATAATGTCATACTAATTTTTGTTCTTACTATTTCGCTATCCTTTATTAAGCTATATTATTTTCTTAGAATTTATGAAGGATTTAGTTTTCTTGTGCAAATGATGGCAAAGGTATTTTAAGATCTAAAATTCTTTATTGCCTTTTTCTTGATTTTTATCATTTAATTTGGGTTGATTTTCACTATCCTTTTTAGAGGCGAAGCTATTCAAGAATATGATGGAGTAAATGCTTTCGGTTATTATCTTTTGATTTTTAAAATTGCTGCTGGAGATTTTTCAACCGATAACTATTAAGATTAATCACAGTACTTGGTGGTTTTAACTTGGCTAGTCTGGGTTATAGCGGTAATATCTCTAAACATCGTATTCATGAATTTTATCATTGCTGTGATTTCAGAATCTTACGAAAAGGTGATGCAAAAAATAGTTGCGGAATCTTACAAAGTTAAAGCTCATATGATCAGAGAAAGGGAACAGTTCTTCGGTAAAGCCTAACTCTCGAATGAAAAACTTTTTCCTTAATACCTCGTTTTAAGGAGATAGGTCAATTATCAAATAATTAAGTTAATAGTGATGTCCGATATCGACCAGCTTGAAACTGTAGAGAGTCATAGAACGTATGAGTGCTGGTAACTGGATGTATAGACATGTAGGAAATTGACAAGAAAGTCTCTAATTAAGTAAAAAGACGTAAAAGAGAGGCATTTAATTCAGTATTCACTGCATAGAAGTGTTAAGATTTATAAATCCGTGCTCTTTCATTAGCATGAGGAGTTGACTGACTTATGAAAAATTTCAGATTTAAAAGAGTAGTTGTTAGGGTCACGATCTAGATAATCAGAAGCAGGCATGACCAGCATCAGTATGGCGTTTCATAGATCGAGTAGATCTAGAATAATCCAGTAAATCGCATGACATATCATTATTAGGTTTCTCCGTCACTGCTTGTGAAGTGTTTATAAATACAAATTAAAAATCTATCAGGAGATAGGTCAGTTAAGGAAGCTAAGAAAATGGTAAATTTTATTAAAAATGATTGATTATTATAGGAGAATGGCAGGGATTTACTAAGGATATCAAGAATACAGTAAGATCTACAGTTGCTCGCACGAAAAATGAATTGATATAAAATTTCACTATCTAGAACATTGCACTTTAAAAATCTAATGAGAAAGCAAACGAACAGTATGAGGAAACAAAGAAAAATTATGAGGAGATCAAGACTAATGTAGAACAAGCAAAATAAGGTATCGATGAATTGAAAACAAAATTAGAAAGTTTGGAATAATTTGTGAGAGAGAGTTTAGATAAGTTGATTTTGAAATCAAACAGGTAAAAGCGACGAAAATAGGAGTGATTTGCTAATAACACTCAGATTTAATAAATATTAAATTAAGTTTCTCAAATTACTTTATTAAGAAAATTAATTCTCAATGGGGTTTTGGGGTTTTGGGGTTTTGGGG